TGGGTAGTTCCAAAAAAAGAAGATGCTTCTGGAGAAAAAAAATACAGAATGGTAATAGATTATAGGAAATTAAATGCGGTTACAGTAACTGATAGGTATCCTATTCCTGATATTAATGAGGTATTGGCGCAATTGAGACAAAACAATTTTTTTTCTGTGATCGATTTGAAAAGTGGTTTCCACCAGATTCTTTTAAGAGAATCTGACATTGAGAAAACAGCTTTTTCATTAAACAATGCAAAATATGAATTTACGCGACTACCATTTGGACTAAAAAACGCTCCAGCGATTTTTCAAAGAGCTTTAGATGATATTTTAAGAAAACACATAGGAAGAATCTGTTATGTCTACATAGATGACATCATTATATTTAGTAAAGATGAAAAATCCCATGCAGACCATATACGCGAAATTTTTAATACCTTACGTGAATCTAACATGAAAGTCCAATTAGATAAATGTGAATTTTTCCAGAAACAAATCGAGTTCTTAGGTTTTCTTATTTCTCCCGAAGGAATCTCTACTAACCCTGCTAAAGTAAAATCAATTGTCGAATTTCCTTGTCCAAAAACATTAAAAGATTTAAGAGCATTCCTTGGTCTATCAGGTTACTATAGGCGATTTGTTAGAGACTACGCCAAAATAGCGAAGCCTCTTACCAATCTATTGAGAGGGCAAAATGGGAGAGTCTCAAAAAATCAATCGAAAAAAACATTAGTTAACCTAAGCAGTGTACAAAAAGAAGCCTTTAACAAACTTAAAAACGCTCTTATCTCAAAAGAAGTACTGTTAACATATCCAGATTTCCAAAAAGAGTTTCATTTAACTACTGACGCTTCAAATCACGCTATTGGTGCAGTCTTAGAACAATGTGGAAAACCAATCACATTCATTTCACGAACATTGAGTAAAACAGAGGAAAACTATGCTGCAAATGAAAAAGAAATGCTGGCAATTATTTGGGCTCTGAAATCTATTAGAAACTACTTATATGGTACTGCAAAATTAAAAATATTCACCGATCACCAGCCGCTCACATTCGCATTGAGCAACAAAAATGATAACGTCAAGTTGAAAAGATGGAAATCAATTCTGGAAGAGTATAATTACGAGCTTAAATATAAGCCAGGCAGTAATAATATAGTTGCAGATACGCTCTCGAGACCACCCGAATTAAATTCATTATCTATAGCAACTCACTCGGATGAAAGTTCTGGACACAATCTTATACCAGCAATAGAAACACCAGTAAACGTCTTTAAAAATCAGATTATAATATTAGTAGGAAGACAGAAAGATTACCAGTACCAACTACCTTTTCCGACTTACCATCGTCATACAATTACTAGGCCTCACTATTCTGCAAGTGACCTAATATCAATTCTCAAACGTTACTTAAATCCATCACTTATAAATGGATTATTTACATCTGAAGAGATAATGGGTAAAATCCAAAAGCTCTACCCCACAAACTTTGGTAACATTAAAATTAGATTCACTCAAACACAGGTTAAAGATTTGGAAACAAACGATCAACAAGAACAACAAATAATTCTCGAACACAAACGAGCTCATAGAAACGCCGTAGAAAATAAGAAGCAATTATTGGAAAAATTTTATTTTCCTAAAATGTTAGCAAAGGTAAAAAATATTATAAAACAATGCAGGATATGTTCAGAATACAAATATGATAGACACCCTAATAAACTTGAAATAAAATCCACCCCTATACCAACATTCCCGGGACAAATCATTCATATTGACATTTATATTGCAGAAAAGAATTTAGTTTTAACAGCCATTGACAAATATTCAAAATATGCTCAGGCCAGATTAGTAAAATCTAAAGCAGTAGAAGATATTAGGGAACCACTTAGACAATTACTCTTCATCTTCGGAATTCCTCAGTCCGTAGTAATTGATAACGAGAAAAGCTTAAATTCAAAATCAATTATGTTTTTATTAGAAGACCAGTTAAGAATTAAAGTTTATAAAATACCACCTCATACCAGCACAGCAAATGGTCAAATAGAAAGATTTCATTCAACCTTGACTGAAATCTTGAGATGTTTAAAAACAGAAAATATTGAAAGATCATTTGAAGAGCTTCTAGATAGATCAATATATGAATATAACTATTCCATACATTCAACTACAACACAAAAACCCATAGAAGTATTTTTTGGTCGTAGAGTTTTTATAAACCCTGAGCAATACGAACTAGCAAAACAAGACAACATACAAAGACTGACTGAAAAACAAAGAAAAGACGTCAGTTATTATAATAAAAACAAGATACCACCTAAAGCCTATGTACCGGGGCAAATTATTTACGTTAAAATTAATAAAAGATACGGCACCAAATTAACACCGCGTTTTAAAAAAGAAATAGTCAAAGAAAACAAAAATAGTACAATTATTACAGAAAGCGGAAAAACGATTCATAAAAGTAATATAAAAAGTTAACTATTCTTTTTTAGAAATTCAAGATGGATAAAGAAAATAATTATTTATTAGTAAAAGTGTTTTACATGAATTGATTAAATGTTAATAATTTTGTGATTGATTAAGAAAAAAAATGTTTTTTTTCCTCTCAAACGATAAAATAAGATAAAATTTAAGAAATTTATATTGAAAAAAATATATTGAGAAAAATAAGAAATTTATATTGATAATATTATAGCTAAATTGACAAGTTGCATTAAATTAAATTAATTAAGTTATTGAATATTCCAAATGCATGTGCATAGCACACCTGCTAAAAATGGAAATAAATATTGTATTAAGATAAATTCTTAAGAGAAAGAAGAAATTATATTTAAAGAAAATTACATTTATTATATTATAGCTAAATTAAAAAATTATTTTAAATTAAATGAATTAAATTATTGAAAAATATTCCAAATGCATGTGCATAGCACACCTGCTAAAAATGGAAATAAATATTGTATTAAGTTAAATTCTTAAGAGAAAGAAGAAATTATATTTAAAGAAAATTATATTGATAATATTATAGCTAAATTGACAAGTTGTATTAAATTAAATTAATTAAGTTATTGAATGCATGTGCATAGCACAAATGCTAAAAATGGAAATATCTAAATTGTAAAATTATATTAAAATAAGATTGTACGTTATAAAAATATTATTAATGATATTTATAACCATTGAGTAAACTGTTGCAACTCCATTGATCGGGACGCTCAATTTTTAAGGGCGGAGGAGTTAATGATCATTTATTGTAATGATCATTTATTGTAATGATCATTATAACTATTGATCAATTGCATCAAAACAAATATTTCATACGGGATATTGTTTTGATACAATTGTATCAAAACAAGTTACCGTTGGTTATTTCTGCAAAACAATATCCCGTAATGGATATTTGTTAATGAGTTAAAATTATTGTAAAATTAGTTTTTAGTTTAGTTTTTAATACGCTGCGTAAGCGACTAGAATTAGTAAAAATATTATTCGAAGAAATAAAATAATTTGTATAATGAGAGGCAGAAACAATTTTCCGACATATAGAACCCGAAATAGTCAATCTACCGAAATACATTTTGAGTCAAATTTTTTCTGTTTCGAGTACTGCCAAATACCCATCATAAGTAGTCTTTGAATTATTTCTTGTATTTAATTATTCGTAAATAATGTTCTGAAACTGCAAGTACCAGGGATTGAATTCGTTTTCAATTAAAATTAAAAAAAATAAATTGTGTTTGCCTTCTCTGTCTTTTCTCTGTTCAGTTTCTATTATAAGAATATTTTAGCAGAATAATAACATTTATGATATATTTAGAAATTGAGATATATTAATAATACATTTAGTTTGTTATTAAGGCCGTGTGCGAGTTCAAGTAAATTGAGGTAAGTAAATTGAAATTTCTTAGGGATTTTTTGTACTGCATTTATGTAAATATTTATTTATTTATTTATTGCACTTATTTATTATTTTTGTTTAGTGATTTTCAAATTTATTTATTCATTAAACATCTTATATAATTTTAACAATAGAGTAATATTTACCTTATTTATAGATATTTTACCCTAGTCGAAATTCTGGAAATACAAACATTCGCTGCCATGCCGACATAATTTACTATTTCTTTCAATTTACCATAAATTTACTCAAACCCGCACACAGCCTAAATACTGTGTTAAATACATTTAATGTATACAATATATTACTTTTCAATATATTTATAAAAATTATGCAACTTATAATGCATTATGAAAATGATTAAATCATTTAACATCCCTGTTTAATTATACTGCGTTTGGCAAAGAAACATTAAAAAATAAAAATTTTTTTTTGCAATTATTTTTTTTTTCAAGTTTATTTAGAAAATCAGTTATATTTAAAATCAAAAACCAAACAACAAATAGAAATAAGCACTTAATTAATAAATTCCAAAGGATAATGTTTATTTTAAATTGCGCATGGTATACAAAAAAAAATCAGCTGTGGCCGTCGCCCTCACTGCGCAAGTAGTTTTCACCCCATTCCCATGCACTCTAACTGCAGCAGCAGTAGGGATATTTGAAGAGTCGCGAAGTAAAATTCCAATATACAATTTGCCTTGACTATTGATTTAAGCTAAATATACGCTTTAAAAAATGTTAATTATTTGAATAGGAAAAGTTTATTTGTGATTTAAAATTATTAGAAATGTTGCGGCAAGAAAATTTGGCTGCTAATTTTTGTGGACTGCTGGCAAGTCAAGGATTCAAAGGTAATGCTTAAATAAACTGTATTTCACAAAATGTCTAAAGTGATTCCAATAAAAATATTTTATTTGAATTCAGAAAAGGCTATTGAATGGCGTATATTGGGACAGGAGCAGGACGGCTCTGTGCTTACATCGTGGATATTCGAACGGTTGGATGAGTCCACACGTGAACGTTGTATAGGGCATTTTAATGCCACCGCAAAAACATTGCGCATCTTATATCGCTTGAATACTTGTGATGAAGTAATACAAGCTACAATCAATAATTCCGGTTCATTACTTGTGTTTATTGTAAAGAAAACGTGGACTCCTTCGACAGAGTCAGATGCGACAGCAGGTTTACACTATCTAGCCTATATAACAGAAGTACGTTCAGATGGACGTTCAGAAGCTACAGCGATTACAGTGAAGCCAAATGTTAAACAAATAATGGCACAATTTTTGTGGCGTAAGGAGTCAAGATCAGATAAGGTGTGGCAGGATAAATTTATACTCTTGACACATGAGGAATGTAAGTCTTATTATATAGTTAGTATACTAAAAAAAACTAATGAATAATATTTATTTGTTAATGTTTAAAATAGCTATACTGCAATATACATCTACTATAAAGTTACGCCAAACTGAGGAAGTTGGTTCCTTCAACAGTGGTTTTGATTTCACCTCCAGTGATATATGGTTTTTGGATAGTAGCTTGTTGGTCGCTGAAACTTTGGCAAAATCATTTACTTGGGCGCAATGGGATGCAGATAATCAAGCATTGTATTATATACATTTAAAGCCAAAAACGAAAAGCCTAAGCCTTATGGAACGTGAAGAGGAGCAAGCCAACAATGATAACGGACTTATACCAACATTATCTGCTTTTCAATTCAATGAAAAATTGCCAACGGAAACTGTGGTAAGTAGATATTTTTATATTCTGAGCTTAACAAAAGTTAAATTTAATTAAAATTAATTAATTTTCTGAGCGTTCGCAAGCACCGGCACATGCCCAGTAGCTACATAATATGTTAGCGTACAGTTAGAGTTTTCAAGCTCACTACGCTCATTGATATGTTGTGTAGTTGGTTTAGACGCACGTCATGAAACAATATAATTTTAATTAAATTTACTTAGTTTTGAATTTAGTTAATATAAATTTAATTCCCTTTTAGTTAAATATACCACTAAATTTACCAAAAGTTCCGACTGGTTCCTTCGAAGATGGTCCCACTTATGAAGACGATGCTGTGCCATTACGCGTACATGATTCTTCTTTGAATCTGATTATTATAGCTGATGCATCTGGTATGCTGTTTGTGTGTCATTACTATCTTTATCAGCCAATACAACCCAAAAATGTAGATGAAACACCAGCAGATATTGTCGCGACACAAAAAGTAGATGTACATTTTGCTTATTCGGTTACACTACTACATCATGGTTGTGTCGTACATTGTGTTATGCCAGGTGTGCCATGGGAAAAGGCACGTTTATTGAAACCCACATTTGCTTTGCATGGTGCACACCATTTACTAGTCTTCCAACCGGATTTATTTGTGCATCTGCTTGATGTTGGCCTAACACATGAACCATGCTGTCACATAGTTTGTCCAGCGCACAATCGTAATCCGCTGACACAACTGGTGCCGTGTCGTAAGTGGGGATTTTTAGCCTATGATGTAGCAACGCTTGATATAGTCTCATTAAGCGTACCACGTTCGCATTTAATAGAAGCATTTCGTAATGATACTTCTGTAGACAATCGTCTTAGCATTATACACTATTTTCTAGTACATTCAAATGATATGGATGTGTTGGCAGAATTGCTAAGTATAATAATGGAACGTCCGCTATCCTTGGATACAGTAGCACTGCTAAAAGAGGCACTGGTGGCAGGTAGTTATTCCACATCATTACGTGGTTTACCTGCCGATGCTTTGCAGTTAGCACGTTTTCTGCCGTTGACAACTGCAGATGCCACACGCCCTATACAGGCTCGTGTAGCAGATATTAGTGTGGGATTATCACATGAAAGCCTTTGGAACACGAGTATGATGTTACTTTCGCCACAACAGCGTTTATCACCATATCGTGCAGATATTTGGACACGTCTTTGGGAGCGACTTAATGAAGCAGGCCAAAAGGAACAACGACGTTTTACTGCCGAACAAGTTAGTGAAAAACTAATGTTTTCGTTAGCATGTTACGCACCCGAAGCGTTGTCACGTTGTACGACGCCATTAACACCCAGTGGAAATAATAGCTGTAATGGTTTCAATGACTTTTCCTCAGTAAGCCGACGCAACTGCAATGAAGTATTGCCATTCATTGAACTGGAATCTTGTACGGCTACAAAACAGGAACATGTTATATCAGTAGTAAGTCTTAAGTTATTAAAATTAAATTAAAATTGAAATAATAAATTTTCAATTTTTATTTAAAATCAGTTTAAATAATTTAATTTCATGTATGCTATTTTTCTTTTCACCTAGAATATGCGTGAGTTAATTGTGCATTTGGTTAAACATTCCTCAAAGCCAAACACCGGTTTCCGTTGGTTGAAGGAAACTTTCTTTGAACGTTCACAAGCACCGGCACATGTGCATGCAGTAGCTACGCAATATGTTGGCGCACAGCTAGAGCTTTCCCGCTCACTATGTTCACTGGTGTGTCGTGCGGCTGGCTTGGACGCACGCCATGAAACAGTACGTGGATTTCAGTTGATGTAATGTTTTATTAATTTAATATTAATATTTATATGGAATAACAATTTTAATATTATCACAGTGATCAAATGAGTAATGGTCAACAATATTCATTGTTTTTAATTTTGGAACGTTACTGCTTGGCTGTTGACTCTATTGCTTTTCCTTTGCCACAAGGATTTGCTTCATTCTTTACATATCTTGGATATCGTGCATTGTCATTTGATATGTTCTTACAATATGTGGAGAATCATGTTTTCGAATTACAAGTGGATGTCATGAAAACTATCATAAGTGGTATTACTCTTGTTTTTATATTGTTTATATTAATAGTTCCTGGATAATTGATTTTATTATTATTTTTCATTAGATATAAATGATACTGAGGAAGGCATTGGTAGAAAGCTGGCTTTACTATCAGTTTTGCCTAAATCACGTGCTCAACGTTTACTTAAAAATTGGAATCATCCAGAAAGTCTCATGATACGCGGTCGTGAACATGCTACAAATATACTGTCTGGTAATCCAGTGCTACAACGTTCTGGTAGCACTTCAAATGCTAACCCACAAGTGCGTTCGAACTTTAGAAATGGTAAGAAATATTCTTATTCGAAAATAGAAATTAATTTTTTTAAGTGCCATTTAAGAACTACTTAAGATATTATTAATAATGATCTCGAACAATGCGCTTGATAACTAAGCAACACAGTAACTATGTAAATCGGTTACGATAAAATATTTTATTCGAAATGTGATTCGGTTATTCCTTTATTAAGCTCGTTACTCTAGATCGTGAACACAACTTATGTTATATTTATATTATATTTATATTATATTTATATTATATTTATATTATATTTATATTATATTTATATTATATTTATATTATATTTATATTATATTTAATTTATATTTATATTATATTATATTATATTTATATTATATTTATATTAAATTTATATATATAGGTTTATATTATATTTATATTATATATATATTATAATGTTTTTTATATATTTTATATCCGTTTATAGGTCATCTTCTTGTTAAAATTAAAATTTTATATTTCGACTCTCTTCGAAAATCTTCATCAGGATCAAGATCTAAAATTAATAAATTATTATAAATTATTATTATAAATTATTATTATAAATTATTATTATAAATTATTATTATAAATTATCATTATAAATTATTATTATAAATTATTATTATAAATTATTATTATAAAATTTATAATAATCTTAATCCAAACGTTATGTTCTTGATTCTGTTGTCTATATAGTGCAATATAGACAAGTTTGAGAGGGTTTGACCAATTTTAAAGACATAACGCAATTCACAAATAGCTCAGTGATATTAATTACGAAAATGAATTAAGTGTTTGAGAAGGCTTGGCCAAATATCAATGGCGTAGTGCAATTCAAGCAACTCATTGGAATTAATGACAAAAATAACCAATTCCTTAGTCCGTATAGATCTAAACTCAGATTGATTGTCGGTTTTTGAACTCTACATACACTCTACATACATATCTGTTCGAACGCTGTAATAAGAAGTTTAGTATCTATATATAACGTTTATTAAATCGAGTTGGTGTGGAATCTTAAACTAAGAGATAGTATTAAGTTATTCAATAGCTTAAAATTATCTAACTTAATTACCAGTAACTCTCTGCAGGGATAGTGGAACATTATTCCTTTTAATAATAAAATTACTATATTAAGTTCTGATGTAGTTATATATTAATCTACTGATCTATTACTACGCAAGTACTAACAAATTTATCTGTCATTCTATTTAACCTCTAAGTGGGGAGAGTAAAAAGTGTAAGATAGATTTAAGAAAATATCAGAACCCTGAATTTATGTTTGCCTCACCTTACCGCCGCTGTGGAGCTAAACTATTAGCGTTTTTCTGGTTGGTGGTCTGATTCTATTATTCAACACATGTATGTTTAATAAAGTAAATGTGGATATGTCATTTTAAATGAATTTTTATTTGAATATAGTAATTTGAATTTATTTATTCTTTATTTTTTTTTATTGATAAAATATGGAGTTACGATAAATATTTTTTATTTAAAATATTCTTTTAAATTCTATTAATAAAATTCATATAACAACTTTATAATTTCAGGTAATTCAATTTGTGATTATTTTATTTTAACTTCTTTTAAATTTATTTTTTATAATTTTGTTAAAAATATTTTTAATTAATTAATTTTTATTTTTGATATATTTATCCATGTCGTGTCTACTACAGTTCTTCGTAAGCCCCCCACTTTAGTCTGCCGTTCAGTAATATTGGCAGTTATTATAATTGTATTAGCGACTGTGATGATCTGCGTTATAAGTATTTTTCATAAAAGAAGGTTTCATTAATAGCAATATTCATGTATGTATTTATATACAATTATAATTATAATATATAAAGATTCTTAAAATATGAACTTAAAGTATGAACTGTAAATGCAGATGTAGGATTTTAGTACTAGCATTTATTTAGATTATTCTTGTGTATAAAATTAGTTAATTTAATATACATTTGCAAGTATTCTGTATTCTGTACATTGTGTATTAAAGTTTTAAATTATTCATTTACTAAGTCAGTTCTTTATATTAACAGTTTTATTTGTAAGATTATTTATGTGTAATACATAATGTTGGTTTTTAGTTAGAGTGTGATTGTCTGTATTTGTGATTATTTACCAGAACGTTTATATTCCCACAATTCAAAAATAATGAACGAATGTCCATAAATAAGTGCTAGTTTCCATATAAAATCTATACAAAAATGTGCGATATTTAAAATTGGTTGGTTGGTTGATTGCAGTGGTAAATAACTCCCATGTATCTCAATTAGTGATTTTTCGCCGTTTTGCTATGACATTCCTCGTAAGAACCCCTAGTATAGAAGAGTAGAGAGTAAATCCATCCCGTCGTATTTAGGTAATTTAATAGGTCTTTCGTCTTCACCGATGAACAGTCTGATAAATTGTCAAAGAAGTATAAATTGTCAATAATTTTACTATTATAGACTAAAGTTGAAAGTATTTCGCCCCAGCCATTTATATTATATATTACATATATATTAAAGTACACCTAGAAATTGTTCTGTATTTAAGTTACTAAATTTTTTTAAAATTACTAAGCTTAATAGAATATTTTTATACATTTACCTTAAAATAACTCTTCTATATATGGCAATTCTATAGTATGTCTGTTGATAATAATGGCTGGTTTGTTTCCTAAGTTTTACTATAAGTTGGTTTGAAGCTTTAATTTGTAAGTTTTTTAAAAGTGTAATACAATAAAATCTAATATAATGAATATTTTAGTTGCAGTTAAATAGTTTATATTGCTAATAATTCAAATAAAAAATTAAAATGTCAGGTGCAGTGTGTAACCTGAACCGGGTTGCCGATTTCTGTAAATACGAAATGTTAATATATTCACTTGCAGTTTTAATATTCATTACAAGACCTGCTACTAAACAGTATTTTGAGCTTTGCCAAAAACTTTAGATGGTTTTAAACCCTGAGTTTTACTCTATATACGGTAACACAATGAGCCAATAGGCCTAAGTGGATCCTCTAGGGCATTAAAGCTCTGATCTTTAGTCTTCTCATATCCTTAAGATCAGATATTTATAGACCCAAACTTTAAGTCGATAAATAAGCTTTATTATTTTGTTCCATACATGGCTGTTAGATGCGTTAATCACTGAATTAACTCGGTTCAGTGGTTCGATATTCTAAACCATTGTTTCGAATATCTGAACTATTTACTTTTCGCCTTCTGTTCAGATTATGCAAAATTTGCTTCAATTATTAAAAAAATAGGAAGTTTTATTCCAAAAGAAGTACATAGTTCTGGTTTGAAGTACACTATTTAATATTTGATCCGTAGTGCTTCTAAATATCTGAAAGTCACACTCATATTCTTTGTATATGGTTTTCACAATTAAATGTTCAAATGTTCATAAATGCTTGTTTATGAAGTATTTATAGCTTCTATCTATCCTACTGAAATTATTTTTATATTTTACACATATAGTTTTTATTAAGCAATCTCGTATTTATATTAGTAATTCAATATTAAGCGAATCAATGATAGATGTTTTCCCATTTTATTATCCTGTTTGTCCAATTCGTCAAAAGGATATTTTATCCCTAACAGAATATTAAAGAGCCACTATACGGTTCCTGCCCTTAATCAATAGGTTTTCGTTATCAAATGAGAATAGTAGCTTTTGCTCCAGAATCCTCTTATTAGTCCAGAGCAAAATGTTGTGACTTGACGTCTCGTTGTCTACCAGGTACAGATTGTCATTTCGGATAAATACATATTTTAGAAAAGGTAGTCAGGTTATGTCGTGTCTAACAAGGCACTAGTATTCTTAGTTCTGTATGTATAGTTTAGTCTATTTAAATGTATTTTTTATGTATAATATAATTTTTTTTAAGACTTGAAAAAATAATAGTAATTCAATAATTTGTGATATGTGTATAAATGTGTCATTTTATTTAGTTATTGTTTATACATTTCTATTTTAAAAAAAAATATTATAATAATGAAAATTAAAAATGTTTTCTTATTATACAGGTATTGCCGCTGACAAGCTCTCTCCGCTGGATTCATTCCTAGATCTCCTTACCGCCAAAGCCAGTCTTAATGAATTGGATTATAATTTGTTGATTGAAACGACAGTTGCTTCCATGGAGCATTTAGAGGCCAATTAAATTAATTAAATTTAAATAATTATAATTAAAATTAAAATAATGAAAGTAATATTTTGTAATGCCATTTGAAAATATTATCCTTAAGCAATTTTTTGAGTGCCATTTTTTTTATAATAAAATAATTACATCGTAATGTTATGTTATGGTATCTGAATGTATTTTCTGTTATATTGTTAATATAAAAAAAGAGGCTTTATATATTTTAATAGTAGTTAATTGAGCAAAGTATAATTGCCTTGCTTTATAAATTTGGCACTCGCTGAATTGTGATTTGTAAGGCTCAGTATAAAGTATTTAATTAAGACAGGACGTTATTTTTGAAATTCCTTTAACTACTTTCATAGTTATACGAATCTTCTTTTTTCTTATCTTTAATATCTTTAATAAGTATTTTGTAAATCATTACATATAACATATCTTATACATTTGCATATAAATATATGCACTTATATATTTATGTACTTCGGTATTTATGTATTTGTAAATTTATATATTTTTATATTTATATATTTATTTATTTTTATATTTATATATTTATATATATATATATATATATATTTTTATATTTATATATATTTATAGTTATATAATTATATAATAAAATAATATATATATATATAATATATATATATATATAATATATATAATTTACCTATTAATTTTTGAAAAAAAAACTGTTTTCCATATATGCTATAGAGAGTAGAATAATATTATTATACTTATGGAATTTTTACAATATCATTGATCCAGAAAATGTCATTCTATAAGCGACTATTTTTACTTCTAACTGAAAAGCTTCAAAAATAAAACATATTCATTTTCCATATATAACACTTCCTTAATAACTTAATCTGGAATATGAAATCTATATTGAATGCATATAATATATATTTCATATATGTAGAAATGTATGTGACATATGTATTTGTAATATATATATGATATTTAATATAAAATCATAAATAATATATATAATATAAGATGTTATATATGTAATTGATTAGTTACAAAATGTTTTAGTTCTTTGCTCTTTTTTCATATTTGCTATTTTAATTCTTCATATTTTTTCATATATAATTTATTCATGTTATTTTTTGTTTTTTTTTTTTTGTATAAATATAATTTTCTAATATGAGCTATTGTTTTCCATATTAAATTTGTTATAATTTTAAGTCAATTATTTTGTGATATTGAAGTGCTGAATCATATATGTTTTTTTGTTAATTTCTCAAATTTTATATGTAATATTGGTACACATATATATGTAGTATATTTTAAAATATATAAAACAGTTTATAATATTATTTTCAATAATTCAGTTTAAAATTATTAATACAATTTTTAAAAATGCAACTTTAAATATCTTTTGAAAGAGTCCTTATCTGCATTTTTTTTGATAATTAATACGTGTTTATTACAATATTTTATATAGAATAAATTTATGTACAATTTATTTATTAAAAATGTAAACAATTATATCAATATTATATTAAATTAAATAATAGTAATACACATATATATATATAATGTTTTACTGATTTACACTAATTTAGATAAATAGGTAAATCTGGTTAGCTGAGGCCGCGCATAGACTTGATAGATCTGTAACAGTAACAGATGAGAGTTCTTAAAGAAGGTTAATGTATGCACATATAACTTGTTTGTTTCATTGAAGAATTTTTAAATGTAGTTCAATATTAAATAGTCTAAACTTGTGGCAGTTACCAGGAAGCTTACATAACTCTCGTATTTCCAATCAAGCATTCTATATGCTAGCTTCAATTTCCCTTCTCATGTTAAAACTATTTGTGTAGATATTAAAGGTATATTCTCACAATTCCAAGCCTCCACTTAGCGGCTTTGAAATTGTTAATAGCCTTTTTCCAGATATATGTACAGATATACGTATAGATATAAGGTGTATCTAAGGTATATATAGTATTTTTTAGTTTTTGTATACATATTAAATTTATTTATATTATAAATATGTTAGTTCCCGGAAATATCTTATGAAGAGTAAAGCGCCACAAATTTATTTATTGAAACTTTTCTCTTACAGATATTAACTCTAACTATTTAAGCCATGCCGTACATTTCTTATGGAATTGTATTCTTCAAGTTAACATAACTAACTACATTACATGATGTGACCTGTAGACAATTAAAAGTTCATTATAACAAGTAAATACTATTCTACGAATCTCCACTAAATTAAAACTGAACTAAAATGATAATACTAGTAACGATAATACTAATTAGTACCGTATTAGTACTATTCGGTACTAATGATAATAGTGCCGAGGTTATACAAAGGATTATTACTTGTGTCCCAGTTGATTTTGTTGAAGGACGGCACTCCAACCTAATCTAACAATAATATATAGGAAGTACTCACTTCAGTTTAATTTTGATTTACAGTGGTGTGGTCAAGTCTTTTTAAATATTAGTATCTAGCCGTAAATGCAAGTTTTCTGGTTAGAAGATTAACATCCACCTGATTTGAAACCACATTGGTTCTCCCGTAAAATGTTTTCTGCTGATACGGATATGCATTTGAGTAAAATGTTTAAAACTACTTTAATCAATTATAGATCTTTAATCAATTTAAAAAAATACTTTGGGTGGGTATAGGAAGACGAGTGATAACTCTATAATTGCCACAAATCTGCTGAGAGCTCTGCGTCAACTTTAAGAAACTCACCATTAATATTATTATTACCAGGCGATTTTTCACTTTTGTTGGATACTACTACTTTTTCCTTAGAGAGCGGATGGACGTTTGCACCTCCAAGCAATGTAGGTGCATTTGGTGGAGCATCAGTGCTGGGCTGATCGGTCATACCAAGAGGATTATTGAGTACTTCCGAAAAGTATTTTGCTCATCTAGAAAATTGGTCATGTATGTTAGTAAGTAGGTCGCCTTGCTTACTGCGAATTGGCGGGTCATTTTGACCAATAGGAAATTTCAATAATAAGTATTTATGTACTTACAACATCTTTAAACAACGGCATACTTATGGAAGTAGTTATTTAATCAATTATTAACGAATATATCACATCTTATAACATAAAGTTGATTTCACAATTTATGTAGTGTAACAACAAGGTTATATGCAATCTGTGTAATAATATACATACAGAACTTTAAATTCCTATCTATCCTATCCTATCCTATCCTATCGTATCCTATCCTATCTATCATTAGATTTCTGATTTGACTACGTTTTGGGTATATAATCTTTACCCAACAGCACACACTCATGGCATACATGTTAACACTAATCCATTTAAACACTCAGCTTCAACATATGTGTATAAACCAACGATTTTCTTCCTTAATCAACTTTACATAATATTGAATATAAGAGGTACGGAGATAGAGTGATGCAAGGTTATGACAAACTTCTACTAGCCTCATTAAAATAGCTTTGTATATGAACACACAACGTTTTGACTCGAATATATCTATCTCCGACCTGCATTATTATATTGGCATTATATGTGATCACTCCGCCAATTTTAATGTATTTGAAGAAGTCCTTTCCTTTCACAGATGATAGTATCCAAAGTTTTTTTTTTTGTTTCAAAATGGTACTGTTGTCAATTTCTTTCTGCTCAATGGTCTATTAGCAGTCTTTTTACTCTCTTTGGCTATTGGCAGATCCTGCTTTTAAAAACCCAAAAAATTCTTTTGATATCCATAAGATAGCATATTTCATAATGTGTTGATGCTCAGCTCAGCTGTGTAGGTAATCATCAATATCAGTTACTTAGAGGTGTGATAGACAAAGGAGTTGATCTAGGTCTGCATTTGTAATCGATACAATCATAACGCTTCAAATGGGTTCAAACGGGCTGGACTACTTGCATCCCGGTGGCAAAAAAATTTTGTTCAAATTGGGAAAACATAAGACATAAGCGGAAGATCTAGCTTTAGTAAGGTAATCTAACTTTTCTGTTAAGGGGATTGTGTCTACATAGCGTTTTTGAAATCAATGGAATGAAAATTAATATTCTTTGGGAGAAAACACAATTCCAGGTATTTTAGTTTGTAGACAATTTGTATTGTCTAGAATTCGTTCTGGCAGCTTTAAGGGCTTCATAAAGCGCAACAGATGTTTCATGATGAAAAAGTTAATTTTTGTGTCCAATCACACCATTTCAATATAGCTTAACCTACACAAAAACCAATTTTCACTTTTATCAATAAAAAAAAGAAAATTGTTACTTATTACATTAAAATAAATAATAATGAATATTTTCTATAATATGAACAAAAATAATTATAACATATATTCTTCACATATACGGCTATATATTACATTTTACGGTTCTGGAAGGAAGCATAATTAAAACTTATTTTTGATTGCAATTTCAAACAAATTTTCATTCCAATGTATTGTCTGATTATGGCCAGTAGGTGTGGTATCCAGCATCACTCAAATGACCTCCACAAAGCATCTTACAGTACTGATTTATTCACTTCCTATTAAAGGCTATTGCTTGTCTGAAAGTGGATAATATATTGAATGGTAATAAATACATACCATCAGACGGTGGAGCTGTTTTAAAGACCTTGACTTCAGTCTGATTTACATCTAGTGTGAATCTACCTCTAAGATGTTGAGGTAGTTCAAAATTTCACTATTCTGGGTTTCTCATCATGGAGTTATAGTGGACAACCGCAAAGCAAACAAATTGGTTAGAGATAGCCCGTCAGGTAATAATTCGATCAAATCTGAAAGATCTAGAAAAATCGTTATCATCATGGAAACAGTTATTGAAATCTTTTTGTGTGAACCAATTTCATATAATTTGAGAAAATTCAACGATACGCAGCCATGTTGGTCCCGTTTCATTATGTTAATATCTAATAATCTGATTGAGATGCTCTGTAAAATTATCAGTCTTGTGATAGCTTTTTAGATGACCACTTTCGTTTAGGGAACTCTGCTGAAAGACTTAATCATTCATTTTATCATGTCTGTTTGTAACTATGAGTGGGACGATGAAGTGTCCGACATCTACCTCCAGTACATATGTAGCGTCGCTTGATTATGCTAGGTTTCACTTGGCTAGCTCTGAAACCTCCCATTAAAGAACATTTAAGGATTTGCCAAAGCTTTCATGTGGTTTCTAAACCTCTTAGTTTTTATACGTTAAAGTAATTTCGCTTAATAGGTTTGAGTGAGTCCTTAGTATAACGGTCCCATACGAAGAAGAAAAAAGATCGAAACATTTTATCAAGACAGTACGTCGTGTCACAAGTCGTCGGCTAATATGGCTAAATTGTGTGAATTTCAATTTGAATTGTGTCCGCACCTAATGTTTTCGCCAGATTTATTCGAGTCTATTACACCTCCAGAACACAAGTCGCACCAATAGTTATTTTTTATGTAGGATAAAAGTATTGATAGCTAAGCATCGTTCAAGACTTTAACCCACTAATATCTCTTTCGTTCGAATGGTTGTATCCTTCTGATATGTACGCTATTTGGAAATTTTGTCGAGGGTGTGTCGTGAGCTTTAAATCTCGATCTGTCACTGCTCTTTGTTAGTGGGTGCTTTGTGTGTGGGAACACACCCACAGCTCAAGCAAATTGATGGTAAATTGAAGGAAATAGTAAATTATGTCGCTATGGCAGGAAATGTTGGTATTTGACAGAATTTCGAGTAGGGTAAATTAGATAAAAATTAGCTGTTACCATTGTTAAAATTAAGGACGTGTGCGAGTCAGGCTAAGTTGCGTTCTAAATGAGGGAAATTCTAAGTTGTGCCGATAATGTAGTGATGTGTCGATACGTGTTGATAAATGGCTAAATGTGTGCAGTGCAAAAAATCCCAAGAAATCTCCCATTTGGTTTAGCATCAACTAAGCCTCAACTTAGCATTAACTAAGCCTAAATATTTATTTATTTATTTATTTATTAATAAATAAATAAATAAATTTGAAAACTTTTATACAAAAATAATAAATAAGTGCAATAAATAAATAAATAAATATTTGCATAAGTGCAGTGCAAAAAATCCCTAAGAAATTTCAATTTACTTTACCTTAATTTACTCGAACTCGCACACGGTCCATAATGGATTTGGATTTGTGATGTAAATGCACGTTTACGTTCTTCGTAGCGTATTTTTCTTCCTTTCACCGTCGCTGCTGCCAAACCATCGAATTATATATTATTACAGTTTTTGCATCTGTATTTCCCTGCGAATGTGTTATACGCAAAGCCCGTATTATAACAGTTTTTGTTGTACTTGTGGCAATATTACAGACTTTGTTATATTTAAAATTGTGGTTACTTTGAAATTTTCCCAATAGATGGGGCTGCAATGCACTTTCCACAGTGCATGCCCACCGCGATGGATGCCATATGTTAAGTTAGTGTGCGTGATTGTGTGTGCCGTGGTGCCGTGTACGTGTTTTAACTGTTTACAGTGGCTTGGCTGTGTGTGCGCCAAGCTGATAAAATTCTATCGTTCAGCGCTCAGATGCATTTTGTTTGTTTTACATGTTGACAGTTCCCGGAAAATCGTCACGGAGGAAACATTCGGATGCGGAAAATGTACGCTCGCAGTCTTTGAATTTCACAGTAGAAATTTTGTTTGTTCGCACGAAGTACGTAAAAATGAAAATAAATTCTGAACAGTCGAAGTCGTAGTCTTGCATTCTTCGACCGCCGCTGCAGTTTGTGCACTCAAGTTTATTGTTTATTTGTTTTTAAAAAATGTTTTAAATAAAAAAAAAAAAAAGATTTGTTGAGAATTAAATTTTTTTAAAATGTAAAATAAAATAATAAATAATAATAACAAAATACATAAATAAAAAAACTAACGAAATTGAATTTTTAAATTGTGCGGCATATCAATGTGTGGATTTTTAAATAAATAAATTTCTTATAATAAATCCAAAAGTGCTAATAATAATAATAAAAATAATAATAATAAAAAACTTAATGTTTTTGAAAAAAAAAAAAATAAATAAGAAATTAATTTTACTACAAAAGTATTTGTCAAGAGTGTTAAGAAACAAAATTGAAAAAAAAAAAAATAACTATAAAATATATTATTTAAAATTATAAAAAGAAGACAACACAATCATAGCTATATAAACATTTAATAGCTTAAATAAAAAAAAATAATAAACACATAAATTGCTGGAGATAAAGATTTAGATCAAAAGCTGGGATTCTCTTTTTTGTCTATATTAAATTGCATTTGAAATAATTACTCAAATCTTAATAATCCAAGTATAAGGCTCCAAAAATTGTGCCTCAACAAAATCTCTAGCATTGTGACTTAAAAAATATCACATCAATCCAAAAATCAAGGTTCCAGTAACAAGAACCATATAATTGTGACTTAAAAAACTTCTTAACAGCTAAAAAGTAAAGGCTCTTAAATTAGGGTTCTAAGTGTTTGGACTTAAAACCTGGTCAAGAGCCAAACAGTTAAGGCACATAAAAGTGTGGCTCATAAAATTGTGACTTAAGAAATTGCAAGTAAAATTCAAAAAGTAAATATTCTTTAGGCTGAATCCAATAAATTCCGACTCAAAACCTTCTTAGAAGCCAAATATATAACGTGTTAAAATTAAGACTCATAAAATTGTGACTAAAGAAACTATAAGTACATATTCTTTTGGCAAAATCCAATAAATTTCGACTCAAAATCTTCTTAGGAGCCAAATATATAACTTGTTAAAATTAACTTGTGTTTGAAAAAGTCGTTTCAGAGCCAAACAAAAAACAAAGCTCAAAAATCAAGACTTAAAAATCAAGACCTTTAAAAATTAAGGCTTAGAAATCAAGTATCATAAGTTCTCAAGACCCAAATAATTAATCAATTAAAATTAAGGCTCATAAAGAATTTGAAAAAGTAAAGCAAACAAAGCTTCATGCTCAAAATCTTGCAACTTTAAAAATATACTGAAAAGCTAAGGAATTAGTGCTTAAAATCAGTCTTAAAAGTTAAATAATCCAAACTCAAAACAAAATAAATCCAACAAGTAAAATTTAAAAAAAGTTTACTTTCAAAACTTAATTTAAAGGCTCAAAAGACTGTGACGTAAAAAAAATCTGAAGAAGCCAAGTAATTCATATATAACATCGTTTAAAAAATACCTTTTAATCTTAAATTAATTTAAATTCTTGAAAGTTATTAAAATTAAAGGACAAAACATTAAATATTGTCCTTCATGACATTCTCAAGAACTCAATATAAAAGTTTCCACCAATTTTAACGAGCAATTCCTCAAAGCCAAGAATTTGGAGCTAAGGCTCAGAATATTGTGATTTAAAAAAAATTCTAAAAACCCAATTTTTAAAACTAAAAAATACAAGTTTTGAGAATCTAATAATCTTCAGGCTTCAGGCTTAAAATACAGTGACTTAAAATTGAGCTCAAGCTCATATAAATTGTCATTAAAAAATACTAGAGAATAAAATTTTTTGGACTCAAAAAAACTTTATAATTTCATTGAGGAGCTAGAAAATTGTAATTACAATAAAACTATATAAGCTTAAGGCTTAATTAAAATTATTAATTAAAGTATCATTTTTATGGTTAAAAAAAAAACTATAATACAAAAAAAAACACTAACAAAACTTCAGATTTGAATAAATTTTGGTAGCCAAACTTAATTAATTATTAATTAAATTAATTTTTATAAAAAGTTCCGAAAGTAGAGGTTAAAAAAATAGTACTAAAAAGGAATTTGAGATACTAAAAAAGCAAAAGTTATTTAAACACAAAGTGAAAAATTATTTATTAAAAAATAAATAGACAAAAACAAAAGTTCTACAAAAGATAGAGAATAGAGAATAATAAAAATTGACTTAATATAAAACATAATAAAATTTAAATATATAAAAATGCTGTTAAGGACCCAAATAAGGATTGGATTAGTTTTGGCGTTTCTCAGCATCGTGCGGAGTCATCTCAACGTTTATCTAAATCTACAGGAGGTGGTGCGTTTAATAGGTGAGTCCACAGTTATATATCAGTGATGAAAAAGTATATTAGTTATATATATCTCAAAAATATATAAAAAAATTTATATAAATAATAAACATTTATTATGAAAGTAGAAATAATAAATAACAATAATTTCGTTAATTTAATTAAAATAAAAAAATTCACCGAATTTAAAATCATTTTAAATAAATTAAAAATTTAGTATCAAGAATAAAATAATTTATATATGATTAAAAAAATATTAGCAGCATAATAAAGTATTGTATATTGTATATATACATATTATTATAAAAATAAAAATAAATATTATAAGAATAAAAAATAATAAATGAAATGAAATCGAAATAAAATCGAAAACTACAAAAATAAAAATAATAAAATAAAAAACTATAATAAATGGAGTTAAAATAAAATAAAATAACTAAAATTGAAATAAAAAATACTTATTTCTATAATTTTTTATTAAACTAAACCAAACTAAGATAATGATGTGAAATGAAAAAAAAAAACAAATAAATAAACTAAATAATAAAAATATATAAGAAATAAAATAAAAACAAATAGTAAAAAACGATATCTTATTTTAATTATTTTTTTATTGTTTTAATAAGATAAAAAAAATATTATAAGATTAAGCAATATAAAATTTAACAAAATCAATTAAAATTAATTTAAATAAAATAAAAGAAAAGAAAAGAAAAGACAATTAAATAAAATAAAGTCAAATAAAACTAAATAAAATAAAATCAAATAAATTAAAGTAAAATTAAATTATATAAAATAAAAAAAAAAAAATAAAGAAAATTATTTAAATAAAATAAAATCAAATATAATTAAATGAATAAAGGAAAGAAAATACAGTAATCCAAAATAAAATAAAATAAAATAGAATAAAATCAAATAAATTAAAATTAAATCAAATAAAATCAAACAAAATGAATTCAAATAAAATTAATTGAAATAAAATAAAGTGAAATTAAATAAAACAAAATAAAAAAAATTGGAGAAAATTAAAAAAAATTAAATAAAATAATATATAATAAAATAAAACTAAATAAAAATAAAATTAAATAAACCAAAAGGAAATGAAATAAAGTAAAAGAAGAATATTAAATAAAGAATATTAAATAAAATAAAATAAAATAAAATAAAATAATGTAAGATAAACGCAAGTAATTAAGAATTTAAATAATGTAAATGTAATAAATGACACATAAAACTAAAACTATTTTACTATCGTCATATCATCATATTGTCATCTTAATATGTTTAAATAACTTTTACACTTAACTTAATTTAAGTGCAAGTTGGTTGCTTCTGTTAACAGACTAGTCTACGGTTTACCTGACACTTGCAGTCCATAGATCATAAACGAACAAATATATCAACAGATGTGTTTAAAGATCCAAAGATGATTAATATATATGACGGTTTCCAAAATGCCTGCATGGTCAATCTAATGATTCACTTGATTGAAAATTATAAATATTTTTGGATTCTAAAACTTCCTCTCATTGCTTTCTTTTTTATCGAAATAGATTTTATACCACAATTATTTTTAATAGAATAATTAATTAATTGAAATAAAATGATATTTATTATCCAGAAATAAAAACAAGAAGAAAATTTTTAATAAAAACTTAATAATTTCTAGAAATTTTTAGAAATACTCTATAAAAACTTCTAATTATGTCATAATTATTATTTTGATTAAGTACTATACATAAAAACTGGGTTATATAAAATAATGTGTATTGAGACAATACGATATTTATCTGAAGCAAATAAATTGAAACAAATTATAAAAAATATGATAATATTAAAAATAATTATTATTAAAAAAATTTTTATATTCAAAAAATATATTAAAGTTATATTAAAATTATATCAAAAAAAATAAATTATTAATATCAAAAAAAAAAAACCAAATTATGTTAAATTGAATAAACTTAAATAATATAATTAATTTATTAATTAAATACAAGAAAATTAAAATAAAGTGAACTAAGTTAATATCATAAGTATTATAATAACACTATACGTTTAAAAAATAAAATAAATATTAAAAAAAAAATATAACTAATTTTCATTATAATATTAGTATTTTAACTTAATTCTCATGTAATAACATATAATAAAGCTAATATTAATATATAAAATAATTGTAAACATGAAAAATAAAATTATGCTGTATAAAATAAACTTAAAAAATAATAAAAAAGTTGTTTAATAATAGTTTAATAAAAATAATTTAAATAACTTAACTAATATTAAATTAAGTATTTTAAAATAGATTAATATGAAATAAATAAAAATATAAAGAAAATAAACTTTTTTTATTATCATTATTTGTATCAAAACAAAAAACATGTTATAAAATTAAAAAGGGGAAAAAATTAATATAATAAATAAAAATAAAACATAAAAATAAATATAAGAATAAAATAGATCTAATAGCCTGCGAAAAAACTTTAAATATAGTAAAGTAATTTTTGGTTAATAAAATAAACATTTAATATTAATATTATTCTATCAATTAATTAAATAAAAATAGAATAAAAATATGATAAATAAATCATTTTTATTATAAACTTTATTTGGAATTAATAACCAAATTCTATTACTCATATTGTAGTTTCTTACTAGAAAGAATTAGTGCCCTATGATACCAACTGTTATATACCTTAGAATTTTGGTATAGCAGTTCTAATTTTACATATTTTTTAATGTGTGATTTAATTTATAAGATATAGATCTAAAATGTGATATCTTTTGGTTTCTTCATTAAATATATCAAGTTAAAAAATGATTATTACTTCAATTAGATTAATACAAAATTAAGTAAAATGAATTTTTATGTATTAAAAAAACTTGACTTAAGAATTAAAAAATGAATATATATATTATATATAAAATGAAATCATATATATATACATATAATAAAGTTATTATAGAAACTAATTTTATTAATTATTAACATTTGAATTAAATAAAAGATAGAAAAATAACAAAGCAAATAATATGAGACATAATAATATAATTTATAATATATTAAATAATTATTGTAATGTAATAAATAATTTTATTTTTATTTTATTAAAAATATTAAGATATTGTAAATAAAATATGCTAAATGAAATCAGTTAAAATAATATTATTATGATTAAAATTTATTACAATAAAAATTAGTTAAAAAAATCACTAATAATATAAAATATTTAATAATAATGAAATTAAAAATTAGTTTCTATTATTTTAAGTTTATTTTTATTATTCAAAAAAAAAAAAAGATAAAACTAAATTAATATAATAAATAACATAATAGCTTATAGTTCATAGTAATCATAAAAATGTCTACCTAGCCCCATATTCTTTTATACTAACCAATGTAATGGAGTAGTTCAGCAGATCACATATAACTTACCTGTTTTATAGATTTGAAAATTTCTAACTCAGATTATTAATAATATCCAGAATAGTGTTAACATCTCCAATACAATTTTTAGAAAATTAATTTTGCCAGAATAGTCGTTTGCTCGAATAGTGCAAAGGAACTTATTATAACATGTATATATCTGGTAATTTTTTTTTGAATCTGGTTTTGTATTTGTACCCAGATCTGCCTGTTAGTATACTTTGAACCTTTAACATTCACAATAGAACCAGATTTATATCAAAAAACATTTGTTATTAAGTGTTGTATAAAGCCTATTAGTCATAATTCGATTTTTTAATATATTAAATATTTATAATTTACTAAATAATAATAAAATAATTAAAAATGATTCATTCCTTTTTCACATTATATATATACTATAATAGGAATAATCTCTTTACTTTTCACGCAAACACTATTTGACCTCTTGGGTATACTAGTAAGATACTACATTATTTATGCTTTCCGCACATCTGAATACTTTTCGAACCAAAAGTTATATTATAGAAAAAGTGGTCAAATTGATATCAATAGTAAAATTTATTACTATTATTATATATTAATAGAAATTCAGTTCATAATCAACTTCCAATGCAGAGTGAAACTTCAGGTCATCTGCTCGCCTTATATATAATACATATAATAGCGGGCAAAAGATTGCAGTTCCAATATCCGTTTCCATCTTTCACTCACATGTTAAGAATTGAAGGAATTAAAAATGGTTAAATATGGATAGATATAATTCGTATTCGGTGTTTAAGAATTCAATATTTTCTCTTGGGAATGTTCCAGATACCTTTTATGAAATTACAGATTTTATAACTTAGATAGCTAAGTTATAAAAAAATTAATTACTTTATTATTTTTGTTTAAGTATTAATGACATCATTCTATATGTTATATACGTTTACTTGGCATATCGATTTTAATTTAGTAGCTTCGCATTTCGCTTTACGGGCTTTTCAGTTATCACTTTAATTTCTCTGATAGGGTTTTATTACGTCCAAAGTTTAAAGTATTAAACTTCTTACTTCCACTGATTCTGCGGTCCATTGATACATTGATGCACGTTTACTGGTACTAAGTTTACAACAACAAAAATTTTTGTTAATTTATTGGAATTTGGCTGACCATACAACGCTATTTAGAGTATTGACAAGTTCTCATTATCAGTCGTCTTAGCAAATATTCGAATTTTTTTTTTAAATTAGTTTATATAATTATATATAATTTGTTAGGACTGCAAAAGCGCTAGGCAGTACACAAATTGCCTATTTTTTTTTATATAATTACTTCGTATGCTTGTATATTAATGATATGCACCATTATAACATATCTTGCATTTGCTATTAATTAATATGTCCATATAGTTAGAGAACGAGATAGATGGGTGCGGAACAATTGTTGAAAAATGCTGTTGTAAATATATAATTTTTTATACAATTTGCTTACATAAAAACAAATGAAATAATTAATAAAGTTCTACTTAATATTTATTATTCTTACATTTATGGATTTGATTTTACTAAAAAGAAAGAAAGGCCTCCACATTAAAATCGGGCCGTTTTCA